GGGTGGGCTTTGGCGAGCAATGGCGGGGACTGGCCCGCCACGAACGGCTCTGGGTGGGAGAACGGTCCGGCGGGATGGTGTGCCCAGCCCATCATTTGGCCGGTTGCTGGTGCTACCGGTAACGGGAATAACTACAGTCCTCCCACTTCCAGTGATGAAGGAGGAGATGGGGGCGGAGGAGGGGGTGTTGATGACTACTTTTAGGTTATGTTAGGTTTTGTTAGCGGTTTTTTATTTTGTCGCTTTATTATTCATTCCTTCATTTCATTCTTCTTCTTTCGTTTCTTACCTTTCTTGTTGTTCTCCTTTTCCTTCTTATTGTTATCGTTGTACTTCAATATATACCTTATCCTTGTTGTTCTGCTTCATAGGTGACGTGCGATTCGGAAAGGTAGTGAGCTGTGTCGTCCCCCGTACGTCGTAGGGGGGTCCCCATACGGACCGTACGGACGAACGGACGTACGCCCGTACGGGCGTATGGACGTCTCCCATACGAGCGTGCTACGGCCCAAAGGGGGGGTGCTAGGGGGGGTTTAAGGGCATGGGGTGTTGGGGGGGGGGCTGGGGGCACGGGATTGTTGTTAAAAAAATTTTATTTTTTTTTTTTGGTGAAAAATGAGAAAAAAAAAAAGGACTGCCCGCGTCCCCGCGGGCCTCAGCCTGGCACGCAGTGGCGCAGGGCAGGGCTGTTTCGAAGGGCAGGCCGAAGCAGCCCTGCCCCGCACTACTGCCTGCCAGGCTCAGCCCCGCAGGGATGAGGGCAGTCCTTTCTTTTTTATTATCATTTTTCACCAAAAAAAAAAGGGACTTCGTGTGGACTGGGCGGGTCTTGGGGCCCTCGTCTGCTTATGTATGAGGTTGTGGGCGTCAACACCAACACTTTTTGTTTGTGCTGTCGCCCACGCGACAGTGGTGTTGGAGGCAGTTCACGGCAACGCAGAGAGAGATAGAGATAGAGATAGATAGATAGATAGATAGATAGAGATAGAGAGAGATAGAGATAGATAGATAGATAGATAGATAGATAGATAGATAGATAGATAGATAGATAGATAGATAGATAGATAGATAGAGAGAGAGA